TGTTCTTTGAAGGAGTATAAATTCTTCTTTTGGAGTACATAGTACATGATAAAAACTCTTTCTAAAATTTGTACATTTTAAGACTATTATCAAGAAAATATTCTTTCTTAAAGACAACCGTTACTTACTAAAAAAAAAAGTAAATTAAGTAATCGCTTTTTTAAGCAGCACAATTGATATTTTCCTGTATGCATGTACACACGTATGTACATACGTACGCACAAAAAAATGTTCTATGTTGTTAGAAAATTTTATTTCTATTTAAAAAAAGGAGAGAAACTATCATCGCTTAGGACAGGGGCCCGGCGTTACGCGCCGCTCGTGCAAAATCATCGCCGCTTGTAATAAACAACTGCCCGCGCGCCGACCGCGGGGCGGCCGCATCTCGCCGCGCGCTAGGATTTGGCGGAGGGCGGGCTAATACGGCGATTTTTAATCATTAATAACTCGTCAACTATTGCGAAAATTGCAAAATAGTACATGACTTTTCGACTCAGTTTGGCTCGCTCTATCTAAATATGAAAAAAGTACCAAGAATTTAGGAGCACCCTGTATATATATATATATATATATATATATATATATATATATATATATATTTATAACTTCAATTCTTTTTCTAATAAACTATTTATATCTTAATTATAAATAACTTCACGAATGCTCACTGGCTAGGACGGTAATGGCGTAAGAGTTGACGAGAGCGGCCGTGAGACTCAGCGCGAAAGTCGCGGTCGCCAAGGAATCGGTGATGAGATTCGTCGTCGTGGACGGTTTATGGAAATTGACGTTTTTCAAAGCCTCGGCCGCTCGTCTCTTGAATGTGCGATAGAAGCCGTCCGGGAGAAAGGTCAGGGGCACCGATCGCGGACACGTGGCTTCACGGACGTAGAATTTTGGCAGCAGTCGTTCGGCTTTGTCAGTGATGTGGTGACTCTAAGTGATAGAATTGACTGTTATAAAATTTAAAGTTGCCTCCGAATTTACCTACACGAAAATCATAGCGACAAACCCGAAAATTTACAAGGAAAACTAAAAAGAAATAGGGTAATATATGGGGCAAAATTTGTCAACCGGGCCACCGGCTTGCCCATAATTGTTTTCATCGCAGAAAAACTACCTTGCGCCTAGGAGGTAGCTATGAGTAAGAGCTATCGAAAGTCGTGTGCAACTTTGCAAAATTCAATGTGGCGGTACCAAAATGGCGACCGAAACATCTGAAATCCATTAACAGCTTCAATGAAACTATTAGAAAACGAAGAAAATCGTGATTAAAACAGCTCTAAAATGACCTGTGTTAGAGTTAATAGTAGGTTGACCACGAATAAGTAGCTGGGTGATCGAAATTTGGGATGGTAATCCAATATGGTGGCCAGAAACTGCATTTACGCACCGCAGTCTTTCTTGTCCACTCGGATTACCATCCCAAATTTCGATCACCCAGCTACTGATTCGTGGTCAACCTACTATTAACTCTAACACAGGTCATTTTAGAGCTGTTTTAATCACGATTTTCTTCGTTTTCTAATAATTTCATTGAAGCCATTCATGGATTTCAGATGTTTTGGTCGCCATTTTGGTACAGCCACATTAAATTCTGCAAAGTTGCACACGGCTTTCGATAGCTCTTACTCATAGCTACCTCTAGGCGCAAGGTAGTTTTTCTGCGATAAAAACAATTATGGGCAGGCCGGTGGCCCGGTTGACAAATTTTGTTCCATATGTAAATAGTAAAGACACACATACTTCGTTATTTAATACATATACATATAAATATAAAGTTATGGAAAAATATTCATAAAAATGCTCACAAAAAATGATAATAATAATATATATATAAAAGTACGGATTAAAAGATGATTGATGCTTCCAAGCAAAAAATTGACTGATAATAAATTGTTAATTCTAACTTTGATTTAATAAGTACCTCGAATAATTCGGTGATATCGGTCCCTTTCGTGAGCCGAATCCATTCAGCTCCACCTGGATGCGATTTCGCGAAGGTTTCCAAATCGTAAAGCTTATTTCCGATTCTCCACAATCCTTCCGCACCGTCGATTTTTCTCCTAGCCTCGAGAAAACCCGCCGCGGTTGCTGCCGTCATATTTCTCGCTGGCAGGTAAGCTAAGCCGGGTACCGTGCTAGTTTTCGACATGTTAAAAGTTTTCTGGACCTCGTCTAAATAAATAAGACACAAAAGTTTGGTACTTCTGGTGAATGGTGGATTTATCACAATTAACTTTTACACGTAATAATACGTTGATTTACATCTATAATTTATGTCTAATTTTTTATAAACTTTTTCTTCAATTTTTTTATAATATTTTAATTTTTACTCTTTTTAAATTTTGGTTTTAATCAAAATCTTTAATTTTAATTTCGTGATTTTGTAGAGAAGAAACGGCCAATTACCAGTTATCGAGCGTTAGTAAGGTGTTAAAAAGAAAATCTCATAATTTAAGCAATTTGTTTATTCTAAAGTGAGCTAACGTTTCGACCGTACTTGCAATTAGTCATCTTCAGATTATTTAAGAACAATACAAAAATAATAAAAATAATAATAAAATATTGAAGATTACATTGAAAGCGTTAAAATAAGTATATATTAAGTTAAGATCGAAGTCAAACACGGTAAGTCAAAAAGTCAATGATTAAAATTAAAACTTAAATTTAAGTCGAAGGTTAAAAATTAAAACCTAATCGAAAATTTTTTTTTGAGAAGTCTAATAGTGAAATGGTAGAAATCCTTTGCAGATAATTCGAGCAACCGCCATCCTTGTTAGAGAGCACCAATGTAAGTCCAAATGTAAAATGTCCGGTGTTTAGCAATGATAATGTAAATTTCTAACCAGACTTAG